TATACACATATATATATAAATTTTTTCAGATTAGATTTGTCTTTACTAATGAGATGAGTTCTGGATCTCAAGATATCTCAATTTTTCTCTATTTAAATATTACTCTTAGATATTGCACTACTAGTTAACAAATAATATTAGAGTTGGTTTATTTGTCAGTTTGAGAGTGCAATTCAGAACCGTTGCGACGAACTGCGTTTCTTAAATTCACTTTATAAGATAGTTGTTTGATGATCACCATACGCGGTAACGAATCTACATTTTATCCGAATATTCATCATTTATTTCTTCATGTTTACATATTAAATAATGTTCACTATCCATCCATAACGAAATTGTACATACACGATGATGAATGTATATTTTATTACATTTACCTAAATCATCATATGTATTGGCAAGTTAGTGTTTTTCAAATGAGTCGTTGATTTCAAATTGTATTAATTTCAACATCAAGAATGATCCAATAGGGGTCGAAACGTTTGTTAATAAACTTATATTTTCGTAATTAATCCAGCATTAAGATCTAGCTTGGCTCGTAGCTCTTGTTTTTAATTTTATAAATTTTTTGCATATCATGGTCCAAATTGGGAAAAATTGTTTATTTCTTTTGCATGCTATGTTATGACCAAGAGATTGAATTTTTTTAAATTGGAACAAGGTTTTGAAAATTAAAAAAAGATAATTAATGCTGTTATGTTCTGCTCAATTACTTGGTCTAGCTATATTCCTCATTTTTTTGGAAAATTCAAGGTTTCTCTAGAATTGTTTTAGGTTCAGATGAGTATTTCTCTTACTTTTCGGACACGCTACTGCACAAGCGTCAATTCGATACATCCACTCGATCTCGGGACATTTCGCGATTTAATGCACTTACGCGTGCGTGCATATAATTGCATTGCGGCGTAACGTAAAGCCTCGCAATGGTGAAATTAGACTTGTAAAGTAATGGCATTATTGTGGACATTTTTCAGTCGTGCGATTGTAAGGGGTTAATGTCGCACGTGCTGCGATATGTCGCGGAAGGTTGGCCCTTAACGCGTCTTAAGCTAAACTAACATAGAATTTACTGCATTGCAGTTTGCGCAAGTCTAAATCGTCGATAAGCAAGCAGAGCAATGTCGAATTTTTATAATGTAATGAATGAATAATTATTTTGAAATTTAGTACAATATATTATAACATAATATAAACAATATTAAATTTTCTTGACTATCTTTATAATGATTATCAGCGAGAGATCCTGACAGTTTTCTTGCTTTTTGGCTTTATTATTATTTCATTATTGTTTATTTATATATATCAAACGTTTTTAACAATGTAATACAACCATTTTTAATTTTTTAACCATGTTTAATTTTTGCGACATTCTATTATTTTTATTATAATATCTCTTATCGATTGTCGCAAATATTGTTGGCTATATATTAACGTGAGTTTTTACAATTAATTAATTATCTATATATTTTGAATATGTTTTACACATATTTTATTGTGTTATTGATAATTGATGTCTGTAATAGTGTTACCATTTTTTTATTGACTGCTGATCTTTTACAATGGTTTTTTTGTTTAATCACTGTTATCTAACATTTTGTTGATCTTACATTGAACATCGGTATCTTTGCGACAGTAGATTGTCTTAATTTATTCCGTGCATCTTTATGTTTTAATTCGAGATTCAATAAAATAATAGTATTAATATGTATTAGTTATAAGTTAAAAGTATTTGTTGGGGATTGTAATGACATTTATTGATTTTGTGTTAGTTGTGGAGAATCAAAAATGTTGGTTAAAACGCAGTTTTGGGTTTATGTAATTTTTAAGTAATAAATTTACCAACATTCGTGGAATCTCATCGATTTTTTATAACTCTTATTTATTATCGAGTTGTTTTTAAAGCCTTACTTATTTATTTTATTATTGATATTCAATATTGTTTGATATAAAAATTTCATCGAAATTACAATGAAATATCCAATAGTATTTTTGAACTCTTGAATTGTTGATATAAGGGTGATTCACAAATGCATGTCAATATTTCAAGAGCAAATTTATACATTAAAAGTAAGTAAAAAATCAAAACGTCATATGAATGTATGTTCTCCCGTACATCTATTTCTTAAGTAATATTATTAAACTTCGCGTAATTTCGTTTTCATATCAAACATATTTTTAACTGCAGTAAATAATGACAGCGGTTAACAAATCTCCAGGATGTAGACATAGGGAGGGATATTTTAATATTTAATAGTTATGTAAAAATATCCTTTGCATATCTATGCCGCATAAATCTTCACGTGGTAGTTGGCACGTGTGCAGTGTTCTCAAACATTTTTAGTTTGCTTCTTTAAGCAAATATGTATAAAATTGTCTAAGAAAGTATGTATAAAATTGGCTTACAAATCTAAATAAGAAATGACGATAGATATATGTTGCACGGTTCAAATTTCTATTTGAGTATTCTTTGGAACTATTAACAAAGATGTAATATATGGATTATATTAAAAATGTAAGATCAAATATAGAGCATCAATCGTCTACGTCATAGCTTAATTCGATGAGTACGTCACACAACTTCTATGTTTCTCTGATACATATATGTATATAAAATCTAATTTATCACAAATTAAAAATAAAAGACAATAAGAAATAAATATTTATTTAAACATGTAGGACTAATTAACTTAAGCGAGTCACTCTTTATATAAAAGAAATCTGCGATTGCAGCTTTAAAGATTGATCATCACTGATTTAAACATCTCTACCACAATTTTAAAACTGCTTTGACATTTATCGTATTTTCAAAAACTTATTTCCCTAGCAGAAACTTATTCTTATATTTTCTAGAAAATTTTACAGGCGTTATTGAAGTTTCTAGATATCTTACACAACTTGTTTAACTTGTTTAAAATTACATGCAACACGATGTACGTAAAATTTAAAAAATAGTTCAATTTCTTTGTAAGAATTTCTGGAAATTTTATTTAATAACCAAAATATATTGTAAGACAGGAATGAATCGTGCGATAATTAATTATATTCCGCTTAACCTTGCTCTAGTCGATCGTTATCTCAGTACATTCATGCTAGCAATTATGAAATCGATTTGTAATTACCACTACACTGCCTTATTACTAATGGTATAATTAAAACGTCTGAGATAAGACCGATCTGCTGTTATTAATCATGAAAGACGTAGCACAGAAAGTGCTAGTGTTAAGCGCAACACATTAACTGTGATTACTGCGGTAAAGTTCTGCGTACGATTAATGCTCGAGAGGGTCATGCAGCCAGGACGAGTTATAAACTCGACTTAGAAACTACGTAAAGTATAATGATTGCTTGCAATTGTTACGCTGCGATTATCAGGAGTTGTTCAATTTATGATCTGCGCTTGTGAGATGTATAACGCACTTCGCATGCGGCTGATAAAAACGATTTCGATTCTTTGCTCACAATTCTTCCATCTTATAAGATCGATCCTGCAGATGTTTCAATTTCTGGAAAGATACGACAGTTTTGCCCTGATTATTCTTGTATAAGATGAGCTCAAAGAAAAATTACAGTAGTTTTATACTCCAGTTTCATCAATATAATTTTAATATAATATGCAGGCATGATAATTATTCATTACTTATAAGTTACGACTGCATTTCAGAAACTTATCGCATGTTTTATTTTTATTGAGACCTATATAAAAGTCTCTACCTCGCACGTATTTTTTAAATATAACATTTAAAATCAATTGCAAACACTGAAATTGTTAAGGGCTAGTTTACAAAAATGATGCCAATTCATTCTTAAAGCTTTTTAAAGCTTTTTAATTTATAGTTAACTTTGTGACAGTATTAGCCTATCAAGCTATGTATTATTAATCTATAAATGAAGAAATCTACGTTATTCTCGAGAGAATAATTTAGTTTGCAGTAGCTTAAATTGCGCGTTTGAGTTAATTTAAATAATATATGTGCATATATTATTATGTACTGAGTAAACGTACCATTTTGGTATCAGCAAAGTGTCTTAAGTGGGAAGCATAGACTTTTGCATAAAGCATAACATATAAGGCATAAGAAATTCAATTAATCACGAATTCTTTATTTGATGGAAAGGAAGGAAACGAAGGACTTTGATTGGTTTATTTTCTTATGCATTACGTGTTATGCGTACAAAAGTCTTTACTCCCCATCTTACATTAGTTTGATTCCGTGCACTGTTTGCTTCCTTCTATCTTCATGTTCTACATATAATGGAATGAAATTATTCTTGTTATTATTGTCTTGTTACTGTTGTTATTATCCTTCTTATTGTATTGTCGTAATTTGCTTCACACCCTGGTTTCCTCTCGATTGTTTCCGCTCGTACATACATGTCGCATCGTATCGTCGCATGTTTCTTTTTATGCACGTATAATTCTTTTTTCGTTTCGTCCCCTTCACCCTCGTCTCTTAATCTCTCTTCGCTCTTCTGTCTCTTTTATCGGGACGGAAGTCATCTGAAATTTTTCCCGATCACCTCCCTCGCCCTCGGAAGATTCACTTGCGTCTTGCTCTCATTTTAAGTCGATTATCAGTTTGCGACAGTTCATTTCAATCAATAGAGGTAGATCATCAAAGAATCTCGAAATCGCAATGTAAATTCGTATGACCAACATCTCAATTTGATTGTAACATTGATGATCACTTTTCTTTCCCGAGGAGAACGAGAGGAGCAAGAAGAGAGAAGAGAGGGACAGGGTAGACATAATGTAATTGCTTAGTCTGGGTCTACAGATTAGAAGCTAGACCAATTGAATGAGAGGTGGAGTAAAAGTGGCGAAAATGTAAGTGTGAATGAGAAAATGCGAGAGAATTGAAAAAGAATGAGAGAGAGAGAGAGAGAGAGAGAGAGAGAGAGAGAGAGAGAGTGAAATGTAAGAAAAATGAAGAATAAATGATGAAAGGGAAGAATGATAGGAAGAGAAAATTCATACATATCCGAAATGCCACTTGTTCCAGGACCTAAAGAAGCGCGATTCCCACATCTGCGACATGCAGGCCCTACAGCCACTTCCGGCCCCCACCAACACCGCCAACACCGCGCCCGCCATGACTACTTCCGGTGGGCAGCCACCGCTCCCGGTATCGGAGACCGTTTGAATCACGATGATCACGAGAACCGATCACGATCGTCCGTGTGCGATGCGCTAGCCACGCATTATCACACCACCACTCACCTATAAACTCACCGCCGTCCTTCTCCACTCGCTGAACCCGATGAACGAACCACGGCCGACCACGGTCGAAGCAACGGTGAGCCATCATCAATCACGAATCTTAAAAGGGCGCAGCGCGAACCACCGGAAGTAGTCGTGGATCATGTTAGTCCGTGATATACGCGTAATCTTTCGATTGTTCTATTTCGCACGGAAGTCCCGTAAGTGATATTGCAAAAAATCGCGCGTATGATCGTTTATTTATCCAGAGAACGTATTATTTTTAGTATTTTTGTGTAGTGTTTATCGTGATGTTATTTTGTAGATTTAGTTGAAATCCACTCGATAAACTGTATAATAGAAGTGAATGGATTTTCAAATATTTTGCACGCAGATATATATATATATATAGATATATATATATATATATATATAAAATAGTAATAAAAAATGGAAAATTTGATATTATTACTAAAATGGAAGTATTTAAAATTAATTGAAAGTTCTTTGAATTTTGAATATTATTTTGGAAAATTCCACTTTGAAGAAGTTTTTTTGTAAATTAGCTTTATTTTCCGCGAAATAATGTCGCTTTTGTTTTATTATACATGCATAAAATTTAGAAATCGAAATCGATCTGTTTCAAATGTACTCTTGAGTTTTGTTATTTACTACTTCAATCTTATTAAATTACATACATTGCGATTGCAAGTATATCATTGAATTCACGCATCACTAGTATTGCTTACAGAATCTATTCGCATTCACTTCCGGCGATTCACGCTACTATTCTCGAATATCGATCGGTTTCAATAAATTAAGATACTTTACTTGGTGATTGAGAAATGATAATAGAAATTGAATAAAACCACTTTAATTTTGTGATTGGAGTTTACTTGCTTATTTGAAACAACTTTATTTTGCTAGGTGACAATTTTCTTATTCTTTGTTACTTTAATATCATGTAGCATTTTCAATTATTAATGTAGAGGTTATTCTATATTTTTAAACAAATATAAAAGGAAATGCATGTTCTGTAGTTTACAATGATGGAGTTTAAAACTTCTCGACTACCTACTTATAAAAAATTAAATTATTTTAACTTCTCGCGTTTATAATTAACCTCTTGTTTATAATTAGCTTCTTTCTCTTTCTTAAGATATAGCGAGAAGGTCGTGTTGAAAAGTAAACCAATCGAATCGGAGGCGAATTGATGATCAAGGTTAATCGGGAGGTGATTTACGATTGGCCAATGGGCTTAAGACAATTTTTCGAGATTACGTTCGCTTCGTTTGCCACCTTGAAATACGACATGAAGCTGAGAACGTCCGTTCGCGGCCTAGGATCACCGGATGAGTCCTGAGTACAGGCAATTTTTTCGGATTTGCGTCGGCTTTCTCTGACACGACCTAGTTTCGTCGCTGAATCGAGCTACAAGACAATCTTTTTCGTTGAATCGCGCACGAATTCTCAGCGATACGTAGCCTACGAACGAACTGGATAATTGAAAAAGTTCACGTGTTCACGTGTTCAGAATTTGGAGATGTTGGAATTTAAATATTCTTTTAAATTTTCTTATCGACTTTTAAATTTGGTGTGGATTCTTCTCACGAAGAGTATTACCTTTTTTCTAAAAACTATATATATATTCCTTATGTCTTTGTATTTTATAAATGACTTCCATAGCAAGAAATTCGGTATTACTATTTTAATTAGTAATAGAAACAATATCATTTGTCAGTTTCTCAATCATCATATATAAATCTCTTTTATGAAACGAACGATTTGATTTTAATTTATCAAGCGTGACAATTATTTTATATAATATATATTTTGTAATATACATGAAGTGTCACGTAATTGTTTTGTTAATTTTCGATATTGTTTCGAATTCGCGCGGCTATGAATTGTTCGCGCCTTTCAATTTCAGTAAAAACGAGTCGTTTGCATCGATGCCACGCGACGATGGAGATCGTCATCAGATTCAACGGCACTCTGAACCGCGGTTTCGCAAGCGGATTGATTCCCCGGAGAGGACGGAACGATCGTTCGTTATTCAGCGGGATCTATACAGAGGATCTGGGAGGATCTATACCATCGCGATGTGGATCGATTGTTATCGAAGTACGAGGACCGACGCGCGGTTCCTCCTATGCGATCGTAGTCCTGTTAGAATTTCCGACAATTCGCAAATTTCCGTTTGACGGAAAAATGTCTCGTATTAGCAACGTTTGTTCGCATGTCCTCGTTGCAATCGCAATACCTGGTTACATGCCGGATGGATTTCTGCAGGAAGAGAAAAGCGATTGAGCACTTCCTGATGAAATCCGTTTATGCCATATGACAGTTAATTAAATTAATTGATTAAATTGTGCCAGCGACGAGTTCGCAAAATGGATAACCCAGGTGTGGCTAAGTGATTGCGATTAGAGTTGCGCAATTATATGGGATTTGTCCGTGCGAGATCGAGTTCTTGGGGGTTTTGCAACATGTTACTTCGCGTCAGGCCGTCCCTTATATAAATAATGTTCTTTCAGTGATTCTTAAAGGAAAAGAAGAGATATATTGTTTATTGCGATTGTTCAAATAGCTCGTAAAATTTATTAATTACGTCGGAATTATAAATTCACTTGCGCTATAAAAGCAGCGTTACTCGACATAAACTTGATGATTTTTAATATCTTACTATATTAATTGTGGAATAGAGAGTCATAAATTCATATGAATATAATCGCAGTTAAACTGCAGCTTACATTTACTTCTAAGTTAATTTTCTTCCTGTCATTGAGGAACTATATCTCTATATCATATGATTATGATTCACAATCAGGTAATATTTAATGGTATGTAGAGACGAAACACATACAAACTTAAGCATGTCCGTTTAAGAATTATATTATCCAGAATTATGTTAAGAAAATAAAACTTTCAATCTTAATATCAGGAGTACTACAGAATTTTCACTAGGCGCTCTCAGGAGAATGGAACTCTCAAGTGCCTACTCAGTTTCAGCAAATTATATGAAATCGATCATTTTTAACATGTATTATATGAATTACTATACGCGAAATTATATATGTGTATAATATATGTACCAATTGTTAATGTGAAGTTAAATGAAATCGATAATTTTTAATATGTTGTTACAGACGTTTCTATAATCAATCTTCTACAATTTTAAATGCTCTCGAATAAAATTCTATTCAATCAAACGTTTATTGCATACCTTAAACATTATCTCGTTATTTACTTCTGAATGAGACCATTTATATTTTTAAGTGTCTTTATATATAAAGATATAAAGTCTATATATGTATATATATCAGATATATATATATATATATATATATATATATAGAGAGTTGAATTATTTTTTAAAGAAAAGTAATCAATTTTCAATTATTTAAAAACCATATTTAATATTTTTATATTACACTATGCGTATATATAACTTACAAGTGTACTGTTAAAAGTTTTTATAAAGAAACTTTTTCAGTATAACATTTAAAATTACATTGTTAAAAATTTCTACAAATTGATTTGTAAGAATTTTCAACAATATACCGTTATTTATTTGACATGTTAATAGAATCGATGACAAAACTGAAGACAATATGAAATCAGGAAAAAAGGAAACAAAATGTATAAAGATTATAAAAAATGCAAATATAAAATATGAAAGACATTGATTAATATAAAATTGATGAGACCGTCTTGATTTATTTGGACTGTTACTTTCAAATAATAATCAGTATAAAAGCAAATGATTAAAACAAGCGAAGAAGAAAAGTTGGCACAAAGAATTTTAGCACTATTTGATATGATTAATTTGATTTAAAAATTTGAATGTTACGATTCCCTAACTCAAAAGTAACAATAAAGATAAAAGGGCTCGAGGGATAAGCGCTGTTCAATGTGCGCAAACTGTTCAAGAATATCTCTCAATATTCAAATTAAATTTATTGAAGAGACGTAGAACAAACATAATCATTAAAACAATAAATAAATAAATTCGTACGTTTCTATTAGTTTTCTAACCTTCTTCAGCGAAAAATATACGCAAAAAAGTTACACATTATATTAATATTGTTTGTTGTCTACGCATACAAAATTGGAAAATATAAATCTATAATTCTTTGCAGTCCAAGGAAATCAAACTAAGTTCTCTGTGATGTAACTTATGTCGGACAAACAGGACAATTAAAAACGAGAATCTCCAAACATAGATCTCATATTAATAGAAACAGCAACACATTCGGTAATTACAGATTATAGGTTGCGTCATAATCATAATTTCTGTTGGAAAGACGTTAAAATATTGGATAATGAGCGGAATTACAATAAGAGATTGATATCAGAGATAATCAATATAAAACAATAGAATAATAAACTTGAATACATAAACTTGAAAACAGACACGGAATTGTTAAACCAAGCATGTGAATTATTTTAACTTTTAGTTTGCTTTTATTAAACATCGAACTTGGCTTTTAAATGATCGGCTTTTAAATGAGCTCTCACGAATTGTCTCATTTTACTGTTTGACGATGTATGATCGATACGTTATTCTGTACTGTACATTTCATTTATTATTTTATAATTTGATTAAAAAATCTTTAATTATTTGACATCTTTACTATCAAGACTTTGGATTAGCAGTTTACATTATGTGCTTGCAGTTTCCATTATTTTTTGTTTTTTGTACATTCATTTTTCTATGCTAAAATATTTATTTAATTTTGTTATTAAAGGCACCGACTTTATGATTTTCATCCAATCTTGTAACTGGTATGGGAGAATGTATTCTCGACAGAGAACTTAGTTTGGCTTCCCTGGAGACTGCAAAGAATAGATTTACATTTTCCAATTTTGTATGCGTAGACAACGAGCAATATTAATTGTGTAATTTTTTGTGTATATTTTTCGCTGAAGAAGGTTAGAAAATTAATCGAAACGAATTTATTATTGTTTTAATGATAATGTTTGTTCTACGGTCTCTTCAATAAATTTAATTTTAATATTGAGAGATATTTTTGAACAATTTGCGCACCTGGAATAGCACTTATTCCCTCGAGCCCTTTTATCTCTGTTATTAATTTGATTTATTTCGTTTTTCATTACTAGTATAAATAAAGTTTTAGTTATAAAAAAAAACAATACAATAGAGAAAAACATTTTTCGTAATTTTTTAAATAATTTTATTTTTAGAAACTGTTATTCATTTGTGTGTAAATTTTTATTTTCTCTTTTTCTCTTTCCTGAGAGTTACTAAATAGTTAACTTTTTTGTCTTTTATTTAGATTCTTAAGAAATTAAATATGTTACATATTTTGCTTTTTTTATTTAAAAATATTTTGGAAATGATTAGATTGATATAAATATCAATTTATTGAATTTTTGTAACACGTTTTTGTTTTGCATCGAGATTAACATCAAGGAAACATTATTTTCAAGGCGGTTTGACGCGATGTGATCAAGATGATTGTGCGAAAGAATGTAAAAATGGAATAAGGACCTACGTACCTTTGTACTTTATCTTAAGATGATGCCCTCGTTCTTTCAAAGCTTCGTGGCCGACTTTAGTCGCTCGCGAAGACTCTTAGGCGGTAATTAAATCGAGATATCGTTCGATGGTTTATTACAGCGTTATCGTTATCATTGCTCGGCTGTAGCAATCAATCGTCCGCTTCTTTTATTGTTCACGAAAGAAATTTTCCCTGAGTGCTATGAAAACTTTATAAATAAGAAGAAATAAGAAGAACTTATTTATTGTGTTTCGGTTTTCTTTGAGATTGTAATTTTTAAGAACAGCCTATAATACTTTTTGTATCATATAATATCAATATTGGAGTATATATTTGACATATATAACTTTGTGGAAGGAAAACTACATAATTTTAATGCGGTATATACAATACATCATCAGAAATTTTAATATATTTTTATATTTAATATATTGATTTATCTTATTTATAAAATTATTTGCTTACAAAATATTTTATAATTTAGAGAACTTTTTAAAACATTTTAGCAAAACGTAATATAATATCTCTAGTATCAGATATAATATCATCGATGAAATAAATATAAATGAAGTCATTAAAGTATCTTGCATTAAAAACCTCGAAACGATCGGGTCACATAAATTGTATAAATTTATATATAAAATTATAGCAAGTTATAATTATGTTACGCTGAGGACGATTGACTGATGCAGTTAAATATATCGGAAGAAATGAGGAAAGTATAAAATGTGGATTACTGTATGCGAGCAACGGAATTTGTTAAATGATAACGTAATGCAATGTAAATATTCACGAAATTTAGTAAGAGGGAGGGAGATGAATGCACACAGCCTGTTGTCTGTAATAAAACTTTGTAATTAATGGCATGGTTTGGACGTCGAACAAAAGATTTTAACGGGAAGATAATATAAATATGTATAGAAAGACTATATTATACATATAACAAACACAAACAAAAGTGAAAAAGGAGAAATATATACATATAATGTACATACACATACATGATACACGCATATGAAGAGTGCACTCAATTGCGACATACACTCACACAAGAAAAACAGACATCCATCTGCAGCACTCTTGCGTCGCAATAAAATAAATTCTAAATTGTTCCGTATTAGAATGCGTGCCTGAGTGCATGAGAAGCCAAATAAAAGATTAAAGAAAAATGATGTATATATACGTACATATATATATATATATATATATATATAAATATATATAATACACACACACACATAATATATATATATAAATAAATAATTATACAAAGGATTGATTATGCGTCCAATCTTTTGTTTTGTCCAAGGAGTATCGCTAATATTTGAGAATGTCAAAGACACGATAATTTAATTTAAGGATTGTGATATAGGCAAGTTGGAGATAATAGAAAAATGTCACAAAGATTGTCGTATGATTTAGCAGTTAATAATTAATTCATTCGTCACGGACGATCGCACGCATTCGCTTGCGTGATCTTTTCGCGTGCATTTCTATTGATAATTAATATATCCATTGGAGGTCATGTGCTCTTCCTGTGCGTGTGCCAAATTTATGAAGAAATAAAGTTACTTCTGAGTTTTGAAATATTAAACGGCCGTCCTTTAATATTATATACTTAAATTTTGTTTTGTCCCTTAATTTAAATAAAATTTTTATAATAAACAAATAATAAGAAACAAAATGTTTAATTTATTTTGTTATATATTTTGTATATATTTTGTTTATTGTATTTGATGTTGTTTATTGTATTTTTTTATATGAAAATTGATAGATAATGTTAACAAATAATTTCATTGATATTATTTGCTTATTATAATTTTTAAAGATTTTTTGTGAAAGAAATTTTAGAATTAATTGTGATGCTGTTATTATAATATCTTCATCGTAATTTTACTTTATTAAGCAATCGATTTGATATGCTTGGAAACTTTTCGCATAAATCGATGTTGGGGAAACGTTAAATTACTTCAATTAATTTAATTATTATGCTGACGTAGTTTGGATGTAATATCAAAGAAATTGACGACGCGGCGCGTCGCGATGCAGTTGATCGTCCTGTGAGTTAGACTGTAATCAATAAGTAAATCGTAAATAAGTTAAGCATGCAATTAGCCATAAAAAGAATTGAATAGAAACTTTTCGTTGATGTTGTGACTCGTAGTGCGTGTATGTTGTGCATGCATATATGCAAATCTAGCACGCCGGGAGGGATAAAATTTCGTGAATTTAAAGAATTTCATAATTATGTTTTTTTAATAATTAAAAATTTAATTTAGTATTATATGTTTTTTTTTTTAAATTCTCTATGTTTGTTTTATTTCATTTCTTGGA